TCCAACCCTCGACTTGGCAGAGGAGTATGAAGGAGATCAGGAAACGCTTGGGTGCTGTCGGTGCTACTCGCCTTTCAGGGTGGGGACCGCGTGCTCCTCACTGTGTCTGGGTGGAGACACTACAAGATATGGCTGCCAAACGATATCAGTGGCGTTCTTGTTGTCAGTTTCTATCCAGATTGCCTGAGTAAATGTCTGGAGGTGTAGGGACCTCGGAATGATTGTGGTAAGCTAGCACTAAGTTCCTTCCCCGTCCACCTTTACTCTTTTCTTAACAATAAGGCTTTCAAATAAATCATGGTTGTACGGCAGTGAAGCATCAGTATTGAACACTGATGTCATGCTGTCGATGATGATGATGCGTGATAGTCAATGAATATCCACGAAAGTTCAAAAAGACGCGTGAGGATGTTCAGTTTTTAAAAATAAGGTGCATACAAGATGTTTAATTTCCTGTCCAATAGTTTGTAGTCGTTTAGTTGGTGTTTATTAGTAAACAAATTCGTGGTGAAGGGCTTTTCCTCTTACACGGGTAGCAGGCCTATGTGAGGCGGATAGACCTCGACCTGCCCTGAGTGTACTTTGCAATCAATTGAAGTGCTGGTTCCGTTAGGGCCCAAGTGGTTAGAGCGCGAATTTACTGTCTGGAAGGGCCGTGGTTCGGATCCTCCCTCTGCCTCTCGACTTCCCATGTCTAGGCTTAGGCAACCTGGCAGTATTCCAGCCCACGTGCCTCCCTCGTGTGGCATGGCGGCTAGGCGCCGAAAGGGTGCTACAGCTGGATGGTTTATTTTATTTTTTATCTCCGAGGGTTGGATTTTGACGGCATAGCAACTCTTCACCGAATTCACGCTGCTGCAGTTCAGCGTGGTACGGATCATCCGATAAGCAAAATGCAGGTATCACTGTGGTGCATTGGGCTGATGAGCGTGTGTGCCGTGGTTTTTATGAACGATGCCTCACCGGAATCGTTCAACGTGTGAGCTGACTCGCAAACACAACAGTAGCACTTTCTACCAAGACACCTGGGTGGAGCAGCCGTCTGGGCACGCAGAAGAATCAACGAGGAATCCGTTTTCCGAAGGTAAGAAATCACCAGCCGAAATCCAGTAAACTAGGAAGAACTAAACGCCGCCACACCAAAATTACACAACCGTCACGTTTCATACACTCCAAAACGATCCGACGAAATTTTCGGTACTGTAGTATACCGTGCCTGCCATTTTGGTTGATTTATAGGTAGGTATTGATTACTGGGTCTCGGCTTATGAAGTTTTCCTTCCATGACGAATGTCGTGGACCTCCTACATTCGAGGAATTACTGTCCCCTCGTGTTTCCATGGCGTGCATACTACACGTAAGACAACGGCCTAGTTACTGAATGGAACGTCAGGAGGACCAGCAAAATATGTAATATTGGTAGCCCAAGTCTACTGAGCTGCACTGTCTTGCAATCTTCAATTCAGTCAAGTCGATTTATCAGCTATAAACCGCACGCCATAGGCACAATGGTTCCAGCTGCTACAGTTAAGATCACCAGACAGCTTGAGATAGCTCAGTGGTCAAGGCACCAGGTTACGGACGGGGAGGTCCGTGGTTCGAACCCAACCTCGACTGCTCCTGTCCAGAATTGGGCAACCTAACAATATCCCAGTCTTCGTACCTCCTTCCATTGGCATGGTAGCTGGGCACCGAAATGCACTACAACTGAACGACTGTCTTTATCTTTACCGGAAAATGGGGGAGTGTGGGACATACAGCCAAGCCTTGGAGGTGATAGCACACCTGGCTAATTCTGGAACTTGGTAGCTACGCGTTGGAGGCGATAGCTTTGATGTATGAGCGCCATTGACTGTGCGACTGGGCCGTTTCTGTCAGTGTCAATAACCACTGGTGAGTCGAGTCCCGGGGTCATCATCCAGGGAGGTCGCGGTTGTCGACCTGAGTAAGTTTACTAATTAGTGTTTTCATACTTCACTCCTAGGTCACAAACTGTCCACCCCTCAGTCGTTTACAATCAGCACAGGGCTGGGGTGAAAGAGCCCTGCAAGGCGGACGGTCTTCCGGTATGTGGAGTAGATGTCCTAACCGGCGTAATTTATGAGGCGTGAGTAATTCATCTGTCACGGGAGGGTTCCTTATCCCCAAAACCATCTGGCGTGCCTTAGTAGTACTGATCCGATGGCCCCACCAGGTCCGAGCAATGCTTTGGAAACACCGATGGTCAAACCTATCGTATGTCCTCTGCGCTTAGACGCCACGCTTCTGATCCAGTAAAAGCCGATGAGTGTTCAGACCCTCCACAGAAGTACGACCGAATACGATCGACTTTCAAGCATTCCATTGAAAGCACGATCAATGTTGAGGATTGTTCACTAAGCGCCTATCAGACAGCCTGGATCAATCTCAAAAAGTGCTCTTTAGACAGCGCGGGGGCGTTGTAAATTTTGGACTCGCACACACTCGTTTGTTGCAATAAAGCTGTTGTGGTCCTTGTCCGTAATTTCTTTTTTCTGGGGCCAAGAACTGGAGTGGGAACAGCAGTCAGGTATAACATCAAGGATCTTTATTGGCTGATATTCTGTTTTCGTTTCGAATCAGTCGCTAGTTGCTGGTATGGCCTTTCTCGTAGCAATAAGATCTGCTGATGTCGATGATATTCAGTGTTCAGTTAGTCTAGTCAGATGGTCTGGACAAACGGATCTGAAAGCTGAGAGCACTGCTATTTTTACTAGCCTCCATTTGACCTCCAAGCAATCTTCGTCATCCGCATGACAGCGTTTCCAGTAGCTTCCTAGCCAGATCAGCTCGATACTCTTCAGCTACTGAAGCTGGCTGATGAACGGAGCTGCTCTCCTTTGGCACACGTAATGCAGATGGGCATGATCAGGGTCAAGCTGCGTACCCCCAGAAGGAAAGAACCTCCATTTGATGCTTCATCAGTAACTGACAGCCACATGGTCCAATTGAGTTCATGAATGTCTTGTGGTAAAAAAGCCTCCAAGTAACTCGATGTGAGCGTCTGTGTTGGAAGTTTGCGCTGGCCGGAAACAGACTATGATCAGCACACGCATGAAGCAGTTGATCCCGTTATCTGTGCACTTAGTAACGACTCCGAATCTACCACCTAACTGTGCTCCTCTCGGATCAAGTCGGCCGACTTGAGAAATCATATTAACCGCTAAGATTATAATATACGTTATTGTTACTCACCGGAGATCTTGATGAAACCCGTCCTCCTCAGTTTCAGTTTACTGGGATCCAGTCCAGTAAGGTGGTTTTAACCTTGGGGTAGAGTGTAACTCCCACACCACGAGCAATTGCATCAGGATCACCGGATGCCTAAGGAGTGAAATATGGAATATCTGAGCTCGTCCTTAGCGGCTTGAGGTGCGCGACCGAGGTGGGGCCTTGTGGGTGTGTTCCGGAGACACGGCATACATCGGCAGATGGGGAAAATAAGGTTTCAGCAGTAGGTATCCGTTGCCAAATTTGACATAGAGCCCGGACATTAAAGGCTGTAATGTTGATCAGGTCTTCTGATATTAATAGATGACCATTTTGGTTTATTTTTCTCGGCGACAATTTAGACACGGAATAGGGGCTAGGGGGTTGGCAGATGTCTTGGTTGCACTATATCATTTGGCGTGTGGGAGGTAGTGTAGAGAGACGCCGGTGAGTGAAGAGCTGCGAGGGAGAATGATACTTCCCGATTGCCTAAGCCCAAGGAGGTTCGGTTGAGGTACCTCACTTTGAGCTTTGACTCAGAAGACTGGCGGATGTCGGGTTTAGTTCTTGGACCTTGCCCCTAGTCTCTGGCTTAGAGATCTCAACCGCGAGACAGTGTTTGTTACGGTTTTCTTGGGGACCCATATCGGAACCAATAACTCAAATGTCTGACCCACTTGGTTGGTGAGGTAGGTGGCTATTGCCACTGAACGATGGACAACCGTTAGCTACCGGTGCTGAGGCTGGGGTGTGTGTACAGGCTGCCCCTAAAGGCAGGTCATCTAAACTGACCTTTGGTCGAAATATCTCATCATATATTTGCAAGGCAATCGTCCCTCGTGGTTAGTCTGACTTTGGTGCACGTTGTCATTTCTTGCAAACAGTTGCTGTGAAGGTTTGCGCAAGTCGTGTGCCGAATTGCGTGTTGTCCCCTGAGTGTCACAGGCGCCTCTGTGGTCGAAATGCAGAATGTGACACTCTCATCTTTGGCGGCCTGTGGTAACGGGATATGCCAACTTGCCGTTGAAGCGCCTGAGGTAAAACGAACGGCCAAGCACTTCCAACAACATCAGGTGTGTCCGAAAGAGTCCTTTTCCGGTATAGGAGGATGGGATGGCCGGGCTAGGCAAGACGTTCGGTTTGTAGGATGATAAATATTAACTAGAGTGCATCAAATTACGTGATAACAAGGAGCGAACCGCCGCTAAGTACAGCACGGCGGCAATGCGCCGTAAGAAGGAGCCAATGGTATCACGCATTGACGCCGATGTCTGTGGTGTCTGCAATTCATCTGAGGGTGCTTGTGTGAGATGGGCAGTGGGCTGGGTATAATGCAGGCATTGTTACGTGTGACTGCAGTGCAGTTGCCTAGGTAGCTCATTCGACCTTCTTGTGCCTTAGTTGCAATCAACAGGACCGGATTTCGTAATGAGTCTCTTCGATAAATTTGCTTGAGGAGATATGAATTAGGTTCATATTGCTAACTGTCGTGTCTTCTTGGATGTGTGGGTGGCGGGTGATCCTTTCTGCTGTAAAATCTATCTCCTACTCAACAGCAGCAGTGGAAACTAGCGTGCATTTTTCACATAAACTGAGCGAACAGAGGCTCTGGTCACTATTCTTTTACAGCCATTACTAATTTTTCTCCATTCTTTCTTTCTTTCAAGTACAACTGTTGAATGCAGATTCTACGCCTCTGCATTTTTGTTGAAATTGCTCTTATTAAAAGAATTTTTCCGAATCGTTAGCTCCAAGCTTCCTGACAACGGAAATGTCACAACAATTTTAGCATCTAGGCTTTACGTTGAAGACAGACTTATGTAGGTAGCCAATGGGTGGCGTAATTCTCTAGTTGGATTAATTCACAATAAAGATAACATCTTCCATCGTGCTCACAAGTACGTGAAAACACTTGTACAGACTGCTTGTTTCATGAAGTTGCCCGTTCCAAAAAGTGCTACATCTTCAGCACTTACTAGGTACGCAGGTAACGAGCAACACACAGCAACCAGTCCAGCGACTGACAAAGCACATGTTTACCCATTTTGTCCTGGCTACACACTGCTCGTAATTCCAAGCGGACTTTAATTAATTAACTGGCAAAGGTTTCAAGGCAGCAGAGCTTAATAGACTTGGGCTACATGTTCGGAGGCCACCCACCCTAATAGCTTTGGATCGGTCACGTGTAGGCCACGGACCGAACGAAGGCGTGCCCCGATTGGGTCAGAATGTCAGCCAATCTCGTTCGAGCATCTTCAGTCCGACGCTTCTCGCCCCGTCACGGAGATTCTAGCACGACCTTATGGAACACTGTGTGACTACCCCATAAATACAGTTGTAATAATCTTCCGCGGTCTTCAAAATGGGCTGTTTGAAGCCACGGTGCCTTTTTATATACCATAGTGGGTCGAACAGTAAGCCAAGGGACCGATAAAGAGCTGAATGACAGTTCAATAGGTCACAACATCAACGATATTACAGTCTTGTGAATGCTTCCGACGTTCTGCTCTGTAAAAAGGCCGTTGTTTTCGTAGAATGTAAAGGCTATAGAAGGACCAAGAGTCCATGATTCCTCGATTTTAAGGTTTACGAAAAGTACTATT